GACGAGCCCCCTGTGTCGTAGCTGGGTGCGGTGACTGCCGGCCTGGCCTTGCCTCCCAGCTGTCAGGCGAAGGGACTCTGATGGGCTTTCCCCACCCGCCTTGGCCTCATCTGTCTGTTAAGCACAGCTTTTATGAGCTTCTCCTATTTTGGTACTAGTTCAGGGCTCTCCTTCCCAGCCCGCACCACTCCCATTATTCACATCTCCTTCACAAAAATCTGCTCAGCTTGAGCCGTAGGAGGCTTTTCTATAAAAATTAAATTATACACTTGAGCGTGATTCAGCCAGTAAAGATGGAATTGATATAATCTCAAGTTTGAAGTGACTTTGTATCACGTAACTTTGCTGTCCTAAACCAGCTCTCTTAGTCCTGTAAACGTCAATCCAAATGTCCTCCACAGCACTCCTCCATGCCGTCATCTCTGCCTGCATCACACTGGTTTAGCGGCTATTAGTGCAGATCACGAACTTTTAAAGAAGACTTTTAACATTTTCTTATTATAGTCTGACTTCAGATCATCCGCAGAATGTCTTCAGATGTTAAATCAGTTTTCTGTCTGACTCAGACACAAACTAATTTTAAGTGACAGTTCATCAGGGAAGTATATTATTTAATTACAGCCCCCCTTACCTAAGTGGCTGTATTTCCACCCAATCAGTGTTTGTCAAAATATGTTTTTCTTCATTTGAAAACTATGCTTTTGATTATGTCCAAGAGTTACTGGCAAACACCATTTATTACATCTTAACACAAAACCACTTCTTTTCTAGTTGTCTCTCCTTCATAGATATCTACGTTGCAAAAAAGGTTTTTTGAAGTGTTACAGTAATGCTGCAGTGCTCATTACTATTTAGCCAACTGAGCTAGAAATACACAGCTATTTCACTAGCCATATTCCCAGAACATAATTCAGCATCACTGGCAATGCTTCGTTGAGCTCCCTCATTTCCAGCAGCTCCCAGCTCCATCCCTCACAGTTTACTTGCAGGGCTGCGCTATAAACAGAGTCAGTGAAACGTTTCATGTCAAACCCAAAATCTCACAACATACTGCTTACTTATTACATGTTTAAATCCAAGCCGCTTACTGATACAGGTCACCCATGCTAGAAAGCTTCCCTGCCACAAGTGTGATGTTAGCAGAGGGTAACATAGGACTGAAATGTCATAAATTAGAACTGGGAGATGGAGCTATACCCTTAATTATTTCTTCCTGTCCCTTCCTTCTTGCTTTATTTTATTGCTTCAATTTTTGTGTAAATACTTCAAAACCAAAAAAAGAAAAAAAAAAGTTGTCATCCTTCCCGTCCCCCAAAACGTTCCACTTGAAGCAAGTGCCAAGCCGAGCAGATACAGCACTACAGACACTCTGCTGAAAAAGTATCCAACTTTGAGCTCCTACTAGGAATATTTACAGATACTGGATAATACCTCTAGGTCCCAAAGATAACTCCAGCTTCTAGTCCTGTGAGCATCATGCATCTTCTTTGTTAATATTGTGCCAAAGGTCCGTGGGTCAAATTTCTTTAAGCATGCCCTGCACTAAGAATATTTTCCCAGCTATACAAATTTATAAAATAATCTTAAATAAAAAATTACAACTGATAAAATGGTCCTTTACCCAGTTTCATTTTAGGTCACATACAAACACGAGGACTGTTTGTTTAAAACAACAAAAAAAAAAGCAGCGCGTAATTTTTTTTTTCCTTCCTCCCTTTTCCCTCCTCCAAACCTTATTCTGAGATGGTGGGCTAGGTTCTGATTTCATTTATTCTACTCTACATCAACATTTCACAGATTTGTCTACAAGTTACTGAGCAGGTGATAAAGGTGTGAATTCAGAGCACTTTATCTTTTCTGCATCAGCTCCCCGCAGTCATTCCTAGAGAGCAGCATAGCATGCTTTTGTGTCAGCTCAGTGTCAAAGTTGAGCAAAACACACTGTGTTCAGCACGTGTGAAGAGCTCCTACGAAGGGAGCTGCAACCTGCCGCGGTGTTAACACGTTGCCAATTCATCCCCTGGCTTACTTAGGTAGAGACCAGCCCCAAGAGCTGCTACTGTGCGTCTCTGCCACAAGACACCACTTCTAAACCCAGCACTTGTCAGATACAAATCCCAGCTGAGTCTCATTTAGAAACCTCCCCTCTACCCCAGAATACTCTAGACACTGTGAAAAAATACATATGTAAGACACATGGATATTACAGTAGCTTAAAGTAAGGTCTGGGAACTTAAAGCCTGCAGGCTGCTTATAGCCGCAGCTTCATTTCACATGGACCACGAAAGATTTTCCTTTCCTTGTACTGGCATGTGCTAGCACGCTGGCTGGGAGAGACACCCAAGCGGCCGATACCACCGACAGCCATTACAAAGCCTTCTCACCCATGTTATAAAATTAATGTGGCCCACAGTAATGCTGAAGGGGAAATATTATCATAGCAAGGTCCCCACAGCAACAACACACTGCAAATTACACAGACTCGGAGTCTGTTGTGGAAGCACCACGAAACCTACCAAAAAGCACCAATATTTGGTAACCTCAGTGTCATGACTTTTTTTCCCCCTCTCTGCACATATTGCTGCTTTTCCCTTTCTTTGTCCTACCTTTGCTATCTCTAGCTCTTTCTGTCAGTCTTCCCTTCTGCTTTAAATCCTGCCTACACCATTAATAAGAGTCATGGGATCCATTCAAATGGGATCCATTTAAAAAGACGCAGTGAGGCTGGGCCCTCACACTGTTACACTGATAGAAAAGAGATCAACATAAGAATGTGGAATTAGCTTTCATAAATGGAGGCAGTTCTCACAGCACAACAGCAATCTTTCAAGAAATTTTCCACTACACATGTTGGAGATGCACTTTTTTAATTGGCTAGGTGTTCAATGAAAACCAATTTCCTTCAAGCAAAGACACTGCTCCTCACTGAGTGATAATGTCAATGCTACTTCAGACATTTCAAATTTCAGACTTTTTTGGTGTCTTATGACTTAAGCACAAGAATTTTGAGACAGAAGCAGATACAGGTTTTTGCCCACGTCTTCATATTCAAATTAATTCAATTTAATTTTGAATTTTTCCTTCTTTAAAGGCAGGTGAACATGAAAGAGCACATTGTCTCATGGATCACACCTCTGCACTGTTTTTTAGGGCATATCTGTTCAATCTTTTCTATGCTTTAGCTATGAAAAAACACCACTGAAAGTAGGATTCATCTTGCCTAACTTTAGAGACTTGTAAGGGAAGTATCTACAGCATTGGAGCTAGACTCCCTTTGTAGTCCCTGAAGAGAAACAGCCATAAGGCAAGATTCATTCCCAATATATTAGATGCTTCCCTAGGGTGAGATGAATTGCACTCTGAAAGTACTGCTTCCTCTGCATTGACTATACTGTGCACTATAGATATCTACATTTGTTCAAATCCCTGTCTCCTTCAATATGTAGTTTTTCCTGGTCTACTTACAACCTGTCCATTTAAATTTCAAGGTTTTGAAGCAAGGACTGTCTTCCTTCATACACATGTGCAACGAACAGGACAATAGTATCATGATTGCACGGCTGTGGCCTTTATGTGCTGCCATAGTATAAAACATCAATAACAATGGTAACGCTGCCCTAAAAAGATTAGTAATTACAGTCCATGGAAAACCAATGGTTTGAATAAGAACTATATTGGAAGCCTAGCTCAAAGATAAAAAAAAAAAAATTCACAGCCATTGCATGCAACACAACTGTGAAAGGCCAGATATGGTGAGCAATCAAAAAGAAAGCTTTGTCTGGCTTACAAAGTCTCTCCTTGTTGTGGTTATGCACTCTGATCTGTTACAGCAGCAATAAATTTTGTTCATGGCCTTTAGCTTTTACAAAGAAGGTGAAAGAGGGACAACTATCATGTTGTCTCCAGTCCTTAATTTAAAAAAAAAAAAAAAAAAAAAAAAAAAAAAAAAAAAAAAAAAATGGGAAAAAAAAAAAAAGAAGCCTGCAAACAGAGGTGGGGACAAGTGGAGTTCATCTGTAGCCAGCAAAGCCTTCTGATCCCCCATTTCTCAAGGCTGGGCTACACTGCCTTTCCCAGGTGACCCCCTCTTTCCCAAGCTACTCTTTGCTTCAGAGTTTGTAATTGAAGAGAGCCACATCTCAGTCATGCCATACATCCAATACTGCAAGCAAAACTTGGCTGTTTGGATGTTCTTACTAGGATCCTTCACAAACTATATATTCCCCTTGATCTCAGTCATTACAGCTACTGCGCTGGACAATACCACGAGGAAAAAAGGGAGATTCACCTAAACACAAGAGCTTTTGGGCAGGAAGTCTGTCCTTGGGGAACTAGGTGCAAGTGGCTTCACAGTGAAGAGGATTACAGGACTTCTTCAAGCCAAGAGGCAGAAAGTAAAGTAAAGCATTGCAAGTCAGACTGCTGCACTTGTGTATGAAGAAGTGAAGCTCTCACAACTAACGTGGAATTTGTAAAATATTATTACAACAGTTCTTCAGACCACCAGGCATTAAACTTTTGGAAACACCTCTGTTCACTAAGTAAAAATATAATTAATCAAATTATGTCCATCTCAACCCTGACTGCACCACCTACACTTTCTTCTGTATAAAACTACTGATGCACAGTTTAAAACCCCACTGCACACAATAGTCTTTTTAGCATGGACAATTCTCACTGAAACATGGTGTTATTTCACCTATATTGAGACTGACCTCTCTTCTCAGTCTAATAGCAGTATTTTCAAAACAATATTGCATTCCTTTGCAGGCTCCCTCTAATTCAATAAAACCTTCTCAAGTAAAACCAATCAAGTGGGTGATTTATGTAATTGTATAGATACAGCTTAATAAGTTTAATCAAACTACTAGGCTACATGTAAAAGCCAAATCTACATAAAAGTGTTTCCTTTCACAAATTAATAAATGCTGAAAACACAATTTCAAGAAAAACTTGCAAAGAAAAAAAAAGGGGGGAAAATAGCAAAGTAAGGTAATTACCTATCTCCCTTTGGTTTTCTTTTTTGTACTGTCTTCCCTTTGGGTCGTCTTTCACTTCCTAAACAGGGGCTCCCACCAGGGCCTGTTACCCGTATTGATTCAAGGCCTTTGGAAGATTTCTTAAAAGTAAATTCCACTGGTTCTCCTTCTTTTAGGCTTCTAAATCCTTCCATGTAAAGCTTGCTCTGTAAATAGGAAAAATACTCTTGGTTACCATTGCCTTAAAAACAGTATTTACATTCATAATCAACAGGACAAATCATCCTATGTACTATCCTAGAATACATACAGGTTGAATAACAGTTTCCTCTGTGTGAGCTATAGCAGATGATACGACAAATTATAGTCCTGGATACACTGAAAACACTATTCAACACTAAACAAGTGACAAGAACCTATTTTCAGTATCAACAAAACTGAAATAACATTTTCCTTTTCTGTGATGAATGCTATAGATGTAAGAAGTAGAGAAAATGCTATATTCTTAAAACCCCTGTCTAACAGGCATCAGGAACTGAAAAGGCTTTTTTAACAAAATGCAAAGAGAGCAAATGTTCACTTCAGAGCTAATTCGTTTATGATCAAAATTATCATAATTCATATTCCTTGTATCTGGGACGTGGCTCTTCTGCTCTGAAAATGAATAAAAGATACAACGAGCACAAGAGGCAGGAGAAAGGCACTCTGAACAAAGTCCACTGAAATAGGCAATTCAAATATCCCTAGTAAGCTGCTAAATTTCTGTTCACTACCCCAAAAATCTTATCTAGTTAGCATGATTTAGGTATGGATTTGTATTTTCATTCACAGAAAAGGAAATTACCATCATCAGGGCAAGTGAAATAAATACTGATAAATCTTTTGATATTACACTGAAGCAGCAAAATCTTGGACAAGCTGAAGTCAACAGGAGCCCACCATTGATTTTGATGCAATGAAAATTTTCATCTCAATTCCTAATAAATTATGTACAATAGGAAGTCTACATCCCAGGACAAATCTGATGAATCAAACTCTTAAATAAAATGATCATCAAGTTAAGTGAGACAACTGGGGGGGACGGGGGGGAGAGATACAATGATAGACACTGGTTGGACTAAACGTTTATTTTAGAAGTTAGACATTACATGAATGAGATCAGCTGGACTCACAGTGAATATTACAAAATCCGTTAATTTCCAAACACTTGTAGTTTTTGCAGGAGAGTTGTGAAACATGTTTTCTTCCTTTGCTCACGACCTCTTCATAGCAAAGAGAAAAATGTATCCTGACTGATTCTTACTCTGTTCTCCAGCATTCACTTGGCCGAACCACGGAGTCAAGAAGGGAATCTTCACCGCAGGTGCAATTCCACTCAGTCACATGTCAAAAAGAGCCAAGCGACACTTGACTCAAAGTCACATCTACTACCCCACGAGCACAATTAGGGAGAGTGTTCAAATCAGATGGCAATCCCTGACATGGGCTCCCTGTATTCATGTTATGGGTATGGAAGGTGTGCAGCACCAACACACTATTTTAGCAGAGCACAAGATCTGCCACCTACAGAGTTCACAGTTCATGCACAAAAAGGGAGCTGGTCTCTTCACAAGGATGCATGGAGAGCAGGACAGGAGCCAACAGGTCTGAGTTGCTTCAGGGGAAACTCCATCCAGACACGAGGAGAAGTTGGTCACTATGAGAAGAATTCAACCGAGAAGCCCAGAGAAGCAGTACAGTTCCCTTTGCTGGAAATAGCTCAGAACTCGGCCTAACAGGGCACTGAATAACCTAATCCAAGGCCCCGCTTTCAGCAAAAGGTTGGACCAGACGATCTCAAGAGGTCCCTTCCAACCCAGACTTTTCTGTGATTCAGATAACTTAATCCGGAGCTGAATCACACCCGGTGAGACTGGAAAACAGGATTCCAGTTTCTGGTTCTGCAGCAGAGTTACATCAGGGTACCTGTGTCACTTAACTTCTCCCTGTCTTTCTAAAGATGGACACCACTGCAGAGTCCATTTCCCACAGCACTAATAGACTAAGTTAAAAATTATAAAACAATTGGGAATGTTTATTTTAATGAAACCACGTGAAAGCACATGCACCTTTCTTCCAAAAACCCCAAGTACCGGACCAGCCGAGTTCCCACAGTCTAACCAGCAGCAACCATTCATAATACAACAAGACACTACCAACGCCAGCCTGACAGAAGGACTCAGTTGCTTATAATTTTTCCAACAGCCAAAAGTAAGCAAGAACACAGCTCCACTGGTTAGGACAAAGGCTGGTTTTGCTTATCCAGTTGTGCAGCTCTACTACACGTGGCTCTTCCACCAAATGTTGTAACCGTGTGAAGCATGAGACAAAGAGTTGACTTACTAGGCGAGAGGTTAAGCACCATTTAAAAAGGGTGGAGGGGCAGTACAGGAGACACACACACACACAAAGGAAGAAATATATACTATCTGTTCCCTGAATCATAAGCTTGGCTGTTTTTTGAAATTAAAATATAAGGTATGGAAAGTACCTTATATTTTAATTAATATCTCACTAATACAACTGGAAGACAGTAATTCTACATAAACCAATGAAACAAACCACCCAAGAAGGCAATATTATTTAAAGCAAGCCCCCCACTTTGAAATGTCTGTATAGCAATAAGGGGATCTTTGTCACAATGAAGAAACATCCGAGTTCAGAATGTGCCCAAAGACGACTCCACCACTCATCAACTGAAACAACAGATCCTGCCTGTGGCATGAATCCATCCCTGGGTCCATCCACACCTCTTCAGTCTTCAGCAGCCACCAGGGAAAATCTTGTTAAAAGGAATGAACTGAACAATGTGTATTTTGTCCCAAACTAAAACATATAGTTAAATGTTCCAAAACTAGACAATCATGACAACACAGATAGGTGCTAATCACAAGGGGAACCTCAAGCAGGTAAAACATAAGCCCTTATTTCTCAGTAATATTGAGCACGGCATGGATGCTCTTGTCTTTTTGTTTAATTTCAACTTAATGAAGATATAGTTAAGTCTCAGCAAGACTTACGTGTTTTTCCTTTCTATATGTTTTTCCTTTCCTTTCTTCATAAACTATAACGTGTTTCACTGTTATAAAACAAACGCCAAAAGGTTGACATCTGATATGCGCATAATATTATGTGTCTTCTACTTTACTTCAAAAGCAAGAAGTACTTATTTAAAACACAACCTAAACCAGGGCATTATTAGTACTCTAAAATGTTTTTATTTTTCTCATTTCACTTTTAGCAACAGAACTTTTATTTCCAAACAAAGCACTACATTTACAAGAGTGATTTTTTAAATATATTTAAAAGCCAAAATAATGGAACAACTATGCTTTCATAAATCACATCTTATGCAAGTGTACCTTTTTTGGCATGCTTGTTTTTTCAAGCACTTTTAACAACAGAAAATGTTGAAAAAACACTTCAAATGACTTGCACAGTACTCTCCTTGAATACACCTCAGAAGCTTTTCAATGTTATAGACGGATTTGGTGCCGTCTGACTTACTGTGTAAATGTATACTAGCATGCTGTCAGCCAGCTCACGGTGAGATTCTCTGAGGGTGCAATAACAATTCAAAGCCATAGTGAAAAAATGGCATTTGGAAATCAGCGAAACACATCTAAAACCTGAATCCCTCCTAACTTGTCTGAAGAGTTGGACAAAAATGTCTGTAAAGTTGATAATTTAATGTTGAGAGACCTAGCTCAGTATTTCCCTCACATTACTTAAACAAATAAAACCCACACAATTAAAAGCAGCCAGAGTTTCAAGTCAGTGAACCATTTCTAGAGCTCTGAATGGCATGTATGGGCACACCGCCAATGAACAAAGGGAAAAACTTAAAAGCAACATGCTTTTCCTCCTTTCTCTCTCTTTCAGCTGTCAGAGATTTTGCTGTTATTTTTACCAGCACTCAATACAGTGATTTCAGACTAGAGCTTTTTTGTTTTTCTTTTTTAACTTGACGGTGCCATTTCTATTTTTTTTTTTACAGGTACCCTACTATTTCTTGGTATTTTAACCTATAATGTAAAATCTCATACACCTCTGTCACAAGCAACGGCTTGGTCCAAAATGCTGGCAATTTCATAAAAGTATTAGCAACAACAGAAAATAAGAGTGGAAAAATTCATGATCACAAGTTCTTGGAAAACATTTCCTACTATGAAACAAAAATCAAAACATAACAAATATGAACTGTATTAGCAAGATGGTCCCAAAGAAAAGTACCATTTCCTGGGCAGTGTCAGGGAGTGCTTACAGCTCTCACCAGGCTCTACAAAAGAGAGGATGTTTGGAATTAAGGCTCATTACAGGGGCCTGATAGCCTCCGATATGTGTGCATTACTTTTATTAATGTGTGGGGAAGGAAGAAAGAACAGGGTCGCAGTAAGTGCCTCCTCACAACATTTTTGCCATTTCTAGTCAGGGCTATGAACAACTGCTGTTCTTTAGAGGGGGGAGAAAGTTATTCAGTGGCATTCTGCTTAGATCGTTTATTTTCTGTATCTCTCATTTCTGTCCCTTTGTATCTAGTGATTGATTGATTGCTCAGTACAATGACCAGATGCCACCAGTATGCCGGGTTTCCCAAAGTAAGAAAACTGTTTTCCCTCCAAAATTATCTACAATTAAATCCAGACATGAAGGAAAGCATATCCTGAAGCCCAACCACACTGAAGACCGTAAGAAATTCTCTCCACAACAACCTCCTACAGTTCCATCAAGAGCTAGCAAACTTTGGGTAAACCAAGAGTACAGAGTAAGAGGACACAGAAGTAAAACAATTTACACTGGATCTATACTAGTGCTCTTACCTGCATTAGGTCAAAACCAGAATTTAGCTGTTGTACACTGCAAATGTTAGGGGAAGCGCTGCAAAATAGTATCAGTTGCATTTTATTTTAGGAGGTTTGTGAAGATCATTTATTTTTGCAGGCAGAATGCTAAAACAAACAAAAAATCCACTTCACTGAACAACACCCCCTTCGAGACCAATGCATAGCTCTGCTGCACTAACACAGAATTCGAAGGCCAGGCACCCACAAGACAACTCGCCATTGCTCCCGCTGACCTCAAGGGCTTTTTCCTGCTCCTACAGGCTTATCTTGCACCAAATCTGGCACTTCTGGGTCCTCGACATAAGCCAATTTAACTCACTAAT